GGGATACACCCGCATCCCCCCGTCGTCACCCCCGCCAAATTTTTTGGGCGTGTGCTGGCAGGGTGGTTACACAACTCGGATTATTTTAAAGTTGCGAAGAATTCCTGCATCTTTCCGCGCTTTCCCTCCTTTTGACCCTCCTCCCTGTCCGGATTCAACAAACTTTCGCTGCCTCATAACTGGCCGAGTACTATCAACCCCAACCCCAGCCCCAATGCTAACCCCCATCCCCTATTCCCATGACTAATTTGCCTGAACATAATTGTTACGCTTTACCCCCTCCCTATATAAACTAATGGTTCGAGGATAATTTACTGAAAGCTACGTATGCTCGCCAAATACTCTTCTTGATTCCCTGATGGGAATTTCTGCATATTTGATTGCTTTTAGGCCCCGTTCTACGCTAGCAAATGCAAAAAAGTGATCGAATCTATGCTAGGATTTCGTGAAAACTGTTAACCTTCGTTCTTTTCCGTTTCTAAATCACACATCAACGTAAAATATATTGTACAGAAAAGTATCTTACTACATTAGATTTATGAAGACTGTTTTTATTATCTATATGTGCAGGATGAAACATACACATTTTTGTTTCTGGTTTCAGATCTTCGATGCGGTCAACACTTATTTTACTGCGTTTTGTGATAAAAAATTTCACACATTGACAAAAAGGTGATTTTTAAAACTGAAATTGTTCCTCTATTCTGGGAGGTAATGCGATTCCCTAAAATTGCCTTCACCTGATTTTCATCAACTCAAGACTAGCTTTTGGAGTGCTGGAGGGGTGTTTTTTTTTAAACTTTTCTCGCTTATATTTGTGATCTCTTATAGTACAACACATGAAAAAAAAGGGTTTGATTCTTTCTTTCCCTTAAATATATTGAATGAAAAAGGCAGTTTTTCTTACTAAAAGATTTATCAGAATCAAATCTCCCCATCCAATCAAAATAAAGAGACTACATGTACGCTAAACGACCAACTCTATTTTCGATCATGAATCTGTATGAGTTAGCTCACCTACATCCTGCTGCCTAGCTTGTGACTCAAAATATAAACGTAGAGGGGAGGCCCTGACCAGTAAATAAAGCTTGTGCCCTTCAAAAGTTAGGATTAGAAAGGCAGCGATTAGACACGGAAACATGTACAGCCCGTCGTACTACAGGTGGTTTTGCCCTAAATTCCAAAAACGGGTACCTATTTCCATGTCGTAAATTGAACTCTAACGCTAGCGCTAACTCCAACCTTCACGTCAACCCCCAACCCTGAAATTCAAAAACTGTTGAGGTATACCGGGGATTTTAGCTGCGGCCATTAGATGTCTTCTACTGTCCAGTCCGTTACACTATTTCGGCGATTTATACGAATGTCACCTGACCTAGTTATGAGTGAGAAAATCAATATCATCCGCCCAAACACATTTACTTATCACACAAACATGTGAGTCAGGAAAAGAAAAATTCGATTTTTTGACATAGCTGATAGCAGTGACTATGATAGGTCCCCCCTATCCGAAGCCAACGTGATTGGTTCCTCAAAATCACCTCGGAAAAGATGTTGTTTGGCTATTTGAGTTGTCCATTTACCTTCCTCTATCTCATCAAAAAGCTCCTTCACAGTGAATTATGTTTAATGTTTTTTTTTGAAGTTTTAAAGAAACAAGTCTTTATGGCCTCTCGAACACATTCCTCCGTGCGTGCAATCATAGGTAGCGACTTAACGGTTCACACGTGTACCTTCTGACGTGTGCACATGCGAGCGTGCAAGTGTGTGTGTCCTCAAACAGGAATAGGTTTTAAGATAGCCGCAGACGCAAAATGCAGGACAAAATAAGAGAGTTGATCGGGGTGTGTGGGTTCAAAAGAGGATCTCATTGACCAGATGCGCAGTGATGAGCTGAAAATAACGATTTGTCGGAATACTTGCCAGTGAAAGTCTAACCCAGGCAGCTCAAAAGACACACATACATAAGTGGGTGGGACGGGCGAGGCAGCTATGAAAACAAACAAACAAACGAAAAACAGTTGTAGGTGTGAACTTCTGAATAAGATTTTGGAAAATCTGGCCTGGCGGGGTGATGGAGCATAGGCAGGAGAGTGGAGAGTGTGTGTAAATGTGTGTTTTACGATAGATCGTGGAAAATCTGCGTTGCCATAATGTCCCCCGTGGAGAGCGTTTGCACAGCAATCGAGGAGCGTTCACTCGGCGCTGTGGAACTTCCACTTGCGCTCAGCGAGACAGCCGAGGTCTTCTTCGTGGTGGAGGTCACACGGCTACTGTTGTTGCCTCCAGCTAGTCTTGAATTTGGTTCAGAAAGAGTATGCCGGCTGCCCTCGGAAAAGTGGACACTAATTTCTTCCAGACAGCCAGTGAGGCTCGTGTCCTCATCAGAGACGTAACAGTCCGCAGAAGCTGTTCTCTCCAGACTTTTGCCTTCAGTGGTAACCCCACCATCACCCTCACCAGCACCGCTGGTTGTGGTAGTACTGGCCTGTGGACCTAACAAGCGTTCCAGTTCCTCTTCCACGTCGTCAGAGAGGAACTTGATGTCGTTTGCCAGGTTGAGACCCTCTGCTTGGGCCAGGGCTGCGACCCCAGGGTCTTCGTCCTCAATCTCCTCATCGTCTACGAGACCGTAGTCTGAGTCTGAGTCGAAAGAGGCCAGGCCGCTGCTTCCACCGGACGTCTTACCTTCCGCCTGAGGCTCAGATGCCTTGCCTTGCGCTTCGCCAGACTTGGAGCCGTTCTGCCCAGAGGGAGTACAGGCATCCCCAGTCGGAGCTCCTCCATCCGTGGCCCTATTGCTGGTTCCACGGGCGCCCCTAATTGGATGGCCGGTAAAGGCAGCACCGCCCAACTTCTCCATGATCTCTTTGTCACACTCTTTCCATACCTGCGTTGCTCTCCATTTGGCTCGGGACTCCTTAGGGGCGAGGATGGCATTGAAGTAGAGCAACTCGTCCACCTATTTTGGGCAAATGGGGGAGGTAGAAATGTAAGAAAATCAGGTAAGAGAAGAATGTTAGCAGTTACTTGGCTGGAATCAAGGAAGACTCTAGGGTGAAAATGGGTCTCAATCGATTAAAAGTGAAGTAGGGTAGGCCGTGAAGTTCTTTACTTGTGCATGACAAACTTTTTCTATGACCATCCGGTAGGTTCGTTTATACGCACACAGCCACTGCCGACTAGATCTAAGGTCTAGAATAAGAGCACAGAAACACCGAAGAACTTAACCCATTTTTTTCTCATAATGTAATTCCGGGCACTCAGATCTTCAAAGAAGACTG